GGAGCACCCCCCGCCACCCCCTCCGAAACCCCCTCTTGTCTCCCACCCCCACTTCTTCATGGCCTGGGGGCAGGCATGTCCTCCGGTAGCACCCTCCAACAAAGATTTTCCGGCCCAGAGCAAGGAAGTGTTATCATTCCAGCCACCTCCACCACCTGCAGGGAGAGAGGAGAAAAACGTGTCCTTGAGGATGCTGGTGAGGAAGGCAGCAGGATGGAGGGCATTCTGAGGGGTGCTCCACCTGCTCCTGAAGATTGTCCTGGGGCCAGGAGCAGGCCATGGGCTGGGGAGAGCTAGGCCACGGAAAGCCTGCGCTGAGCAGGCCTCTGTCCTGCTTCCACGCAGAAGCTGGGAGGGGCTCCTGGCCGCTAAGTCCTTCCTCTCTGCCTGCTGATCCCTGAAGCACCACGTCTTCTGTTGGGTGATTGCGTCCCATCTTAGCAAGAGCTGGGACCCACCCCTTTGTGCAGCCGACCTTCAAAGGCCTGCAGAGTTTGCCTGAGGGAACCCAGGACCAGGCACCAGGAAGCCCTGTGAGCTTCACTTTCTGCTGGCTGTGAAACCCTGGGTGAACGTCTCTATTCTGAGCCTCAGTTTCCTCACTAGCTTGAGACTAAGACCCACTTCATGGGATGTTACGAGAGGGTGGGGCAGAGAAAGCAGCCCTCCACAAACCGCCATGTGTGAGAACTGACAGGAATCTGAAAGAATGCGTTTGAGGTGGCCTTACTCCTAGGCTCAGCCTGTTCTGGCTGGCCTGAAGCCAAAGCTCGGAAGTTGCCCCAGGAGCAGAGCGGCCCTGGACAGGGCAGAAGGGTGCCCCAGGGACAGTTGTAGCCACTGGAGCTGAGCTGCTTTGAGCCACAGGAAACAAATGTGCAGAGCTGAGGTGGAGCGTGGCCAAGGTGGACCACATAAGCCTTTCCTGCTGGCCCTGCCTTTATTGTCCCACATGTCATCTCATGCACAATGGCTCCTAGACACTCCAGGAGGTGATGGGGGTAGGGCTAGGGGACCCACGGGAAGGACTGCTGGCTTGGAAGGGCCTTCCGGAAGGACTCCTGGCTGAGGTTCTCTGGACACGTAGGCGAGAAGTGTCAGAGGGACAAGTATGCGCAGGAACGAGGGAGCCAGGTTTAGACAGTGAAGCTGGGGTCTACAGCAGGGACCATCAGAGCTGAGTGAAGATCCTGGGGCAGGCTGAGGGGACTTTGTCAGTGAGGGAACTGCAGCGCTGGGGTGCCAAGCGTGGGATGCCTCCAGGTGCTAGAGTCCCGCCTGCCCTCTCTCCTTTGATACTGGCACCAGCAGCCAGCTGCTGTCATCTCAGAGGCTGGTGACTACAATGCTTTCTCAGGTTCATGGCACAGATGTGAGCTCAGGTCCACACGGTGCCTGGGGATTTCTGGGGGAGGGCAGGGCCCGAGGGCTTTACCTGCGGCTCCGGAATTGCCGTTCAGCCCTAGGACCGAGGAGTTATTCTCCAGTCTCTCTGGGTGGAATGTGTCTGTCTTGGCCCCGTAGGCTCTGCCGCCACCTCCGGCTGCAATGATGAGGGGCACAGGCACCCCATCCTTCATCTGGCCAGGGGAGACACCCAGAGATCAGGAGGCTGAGCTGGGTACCCACTCTGGAGATGCCAAGCCCTGGTTTAAATGCTTAAACCTGAGCGTTTGCAGGGCAGTCGGGAGCTTTGGGTAGGAGGGGTTTGAGGGCCCGAGAGGCACGCCCCCATAACCCACCCCACCAACTAAGTGGGAGTCGGAGTTCAATCAGAAGCAAAACCACCAGGACATGGATCTTGGAGGCCACTTAGCACAGACTAGCCATGAAGGTCTGGATGCTGGGGATTAAAAGCAGGTGTCTCTGCTCTTTCCCTTCCTGTTGTTTGCTCTTAGGCATCTGTGGCTCTGATTCCAGAAGTGCAAAGGTACGTAAGCCCTCAGTCTCCCTGTCCCCATGGGAGCACCCAGAGGGAGGCCCGGCCTTTCATTCGTGGCCGGGCTGTGATGGTGTCAGAGAAGCCTGCCGGAGGATAGACAGCTGGCCCAGTAGGGACAAGGGACCCTCTGCAGCCCTGCAGCCGTCATGGCACGGTGGACTTGGGCTGATCCTTGAGTAGAAGTGCCTCCCTTTCTTGGGCAGACAGTGTACTTCCTTCTGGACCTCAGCTTCTCCTCTCTAAGTGGGGGCAGAGCATCTCACGGATTCTACCCAGGGCTGGCCCCAGGCTCTATCCACATGACACACACACAGGTCCTTGCGCTGGGAGTCTGGCCAAACTCCTCACCTTAAACACATAGGTGGCTCCACCCCCGCCTCCTCCTCCTCCTGCCCACTCATGCACACTTCTGTTCACACGAATTTCTTCTTCGATCACAGTGCTCTCTCCAACGCAGACTTTCTGGATTAGTTGGTTGGTCTGTAGAAATGAAAAGCACATTAAGTGTGTGCCCAAACCCTGAAGACCCTTGTATGCTGAGAAGATCTAACTCCTTCTGAAATAGCTCATGGTTGAATTGAACAGAAGAAGAAAAAAAACAAAAACAAAAATTGAAAACCGAATCACAAATAACTGTCACTGTGGGCGGTATTGGGAAGGACTGAAAGGGTTGCTTGGACAAGAAATGTTATAAAAAATTGGAAGAAGGGGAGGGAGGCTTTATTGCTGGTTGGTGGTTAGCAAAGACCACTAGGTTGGGTCTGGAAGGGCAGGGGGCATTTTTAGCACAGAGCAGCAAAGTTAGATCATTTCAGGAGAGAGAAGCCTGTGCCCAGATGGCAGGAGGCGAGGGTTGTGTTTGGGGAAAAGCAAGAGGGACTCTTGTTCAGCAAGGTCCATCTTTGGACAGAGAGCTGGCCCAGGCAGACCTGCCAGGGCACGGTGGATGCTGAAGAAGGGTGGGCAAAGGCCGGATGTGGTGGGAAAGGGCTGGAGGGAGTATAAACCAGGGCAGTCCCATCAGGCAGGAAGGCTTGAGGACCATGGGAGGAGGTGGGTTCATCTCTGGGCAGGGAGAGCCAGTGAGAAGATGCAGTTCCAAAGCACCAGAGGAAGAGCTCCCCGCCCCAAAGACGAAGAACCAAAGCACCAAACTGGAAGTACAAGGGCAGGCTCAGATTTCAGCCCCGGTCATCCTTGGGGAAGCCATTTCTCCATTTTGGACATTCCTGCCAGCTAGTGCCTCATTTCCGGTCTTACAAAATCCCTGACATGGTCCCAGACAGTGCTCCCGTCTGCCGTGTGGAAGAGCAGGGGACCCTGGCATCAGGTCGGCACGGCCCGCCCACCTCGGGTGTCTCCATTGTTCTCATCCTCCATGTCAGGTGTCTACCTGCAGTGCCTGGAGAGGTGGCTGCTGTCATTGTCTTGTTTAGACTCACTTTGGGACCCCACAGCCTCCTAGTGGGGACTTGGATCTGGGGGTCTCTGTGGCTGCACCGGAAAGGTCTGCAATGCAGAACCCTAGAGTCCCTTAGTAAAGAGGCCAGGGCCTCAGGAGTGGCCACCTGCTTGTTGGCCACCACAGCTCAGCTAAATTTTCTAAACATCAGCCTGACCTCGGAGGGAAATTACTTTTCTTTCACTTAATGGTGGAAAAGCCAATAAAACATCAAATTTCCTTCGAATGCTGCTGTGTAACCAGCCAGTGGACATGGCCATTCATCTTGAGCCTCTTCTTATGCTAAAGTATTCAGGGGTGCCGGCAATGAGGACTAGAGAAATTTCCAGATAAACAGCTGAGATGCAATTTGCTTTATGGCATTTTGGACTTAATGATGGAAATAATTTGATATTTTTCAGAGTGGATTTAGCGTGTCTGAAAGATTCTGAATTGCTAGTAAGAGAGCTAGCAGTTCCCTTGTACACACGCAGCACTGCCCAGGGTGGGACGCCGTGGGAAGAAAGTGCTGCTATGGGGTCTGCCTGCAGCAGGGGAACCTGCGTCCCAGGGGCCTGCCCCTTACTGCCCCTGCTCCAGATGTCTCCTTTAAGTCAGGTGTGTGCGTGTGTGTGTGTGTGTGTGTGTGAGCAGTGCCCAGCAGCTGAGCCCATCCCATGCACAGTAGCTCAGGAGTGGGCCAGGTACACAAGGAGAGTGACCCCTCTAATGGGTGTAGCTGAGTCAGGAAAGGCGCCAATCTTGCCATTCCATTTTTAGAGTGCACCCCATTCTCTTGAGATCCTTTCTAGACACCATTTTTCTAAACACCTGGAAATGCTTTTCCTTTTCTGAGGATTCAGGGGGTAGAGGTGTAGACCAACCACTTTCCCCACATGCCCATGCTATGCCTGGCCCGACCAGCAGAGGGGGCTGCGCTCTGTCCTTGACTGAGAATCACCTCCTTCTGCCAGTTGGGGAACTCTCCCTGCACAAGGATTGCGAGCATATAGGTTGATTAATAAAAATGATAAAGTGCAGCAACCCCGAGGAACAAGTAGATTACAATTGAATTAAAAAAAAAGACGCGGTCATCTGAGAAGACATAACTGATTACAATCCAATCAAGTAAAAGTCCCTCGCAGAAGTCAATGCAATCTTTCTGCTTAGATGAAAGAATTACATTAGGACTCAATAAATTCCTGTAAAAATTGCAGCAGCCTGTAATTTAATGACTTAATATATTATAACGGGTTGGAAAGTCTGATTATAGTTGCTAAATAAAAGTTGGTGTGGAGACATTTCTGCGGCAGAAGGTTGCACCCATCAGGTTTAGTCCTGTTCTTTTGTCTCAATAAAATCATGCAGGGGAGGAAGGCCGAGCTTTGCTCTTGTCTGCTGCCTCCTGGTCTGCCTCTTAGGAGTCCTGAGTTTATTTTGTGGAGTTGAACTGCTTTCTCTGTCATGCCTACTCCCTCATCTGAACTCTCAGGCTGCTCTCAGGTAAGATCCTGAAGGAGCCGCTGTTGGCGCTGGTACCCAGCTCCCTTCTGGGGGCCCCCTCTGCACGTAAAGCTGTGCTCCCCACGAGGCTGAGGCCTGGTCCAACCAGGACACACGTCCTGCAGGATACCGAGTTCTGGCCAGGAAGCCAGCACAGCCAGGTCCCGCATACCCAGCACACACAGGCAGGAGCTGAACAACCGAGGCGCCCAGGGTTTGCACGGCCTCTGCTTGGCGAGTTCCCCCGCCTCCTCCTTTCAGACCACTCTGGGCTTTCTCAGTCCCTGCGCTAGAGTTCTCCCCCGTGACAGCTGGGCCTCTGGCAGGGTCAGAAACCCAACAGCAGGCTTTCTCTGGGACTGCGGGGCGGTAAGTGGAAATGGGCAAAGGACTGTAGAAACTGAGGCCCAAGCGGGGGCAGAATGCAGGAAAAGCAGGAGCCACTTTGTGAGTGACGCTGGACAAGCTGCTTTACCTCTGTTGCTTTGACTTTCCTCATCCCTGATGCAGACACCTGGGTCTCACAGCATTATGGCTGTGCTTTACCTCTTTCTTAAGTTTTAACTGCACGCATAATAAATGTCTGAAAGCAAAAGCATTGTTTTTGTAAAACATGCAGATGTTATGTAGACCCTCTCCGGAAGTAAACACTAGCAATCCTGTAGCTCTTTTGAATTTGTTTCGTGTGCATTTACAAACATCTACATGCGGCCACAGGTCTGTGACTTTGAGCTGAACCAGAAGTGTTTAATCCGGCACGTTCCCACTTCTCATAATATAACGAAAGACAATAGTGCCCGAGCAAGACAGTTCAGGCAATGAGTTCCAGCTCATATCCTGCTGAGAAGCATAACCAGAGGCCTGTTCAAAGAGAATTCAGTCCTCCAGTTTTAGGGCCGCTGGTGAAACCACCACTTTCTCCTCTGGCCCTGTGGGGATTTAAAACTCCAGCAGCCAGAGAACACCAGCTTTCTCACGCATCCGAGTGGCCTGCAGCCAGAGTGAGAAGCCAGTCCTGCGGACTCTGAATGTGAGCAAGCCCTTGGAAGGCGTGTGCCTGGTGCTGCTGTCCTTCAAGGCCTCCCCACACCCGGTGAGGACGGGCAGGAATGCCCGTCCCCAGCACTTACACTGGGGCAGGCGTCCTCTCCCTGCTGCCCGACGAGGATGTACAGCATGTCGTCCTTCTCCAGGTTGAAGGTGCCCAGCACAGACACGCCGTGGGACCGTGTCATGGTGTTCTTTCCGCCTTTCCCGCCAGCGGCTCCATAGCAAGAGATGCTGTAACCGACAAAGCACAGTGGACCCGGCAGTGGGATGAAGGCCCAGCCCCCTTCCTGCCAACCTGGAGGCTTCCACGGAGCCAAGAGCATCACCGCAATGTCGGAGGATTCTTGCCCGCTCTAGCCCCATGAAGGCAATGGGAAGGATCTTCCTCTCCCCACTGTCAGGAGAGCATGGCCAAGGTCAGTGAGAGACAGGGAGTTAGCTGCCTCAGCCATGGTGCCAGGAAGGTGAGGGACTGGTAAGGTGTTTGAGAGAGAAGAGGGAGAGGAAGGGAGGGGAGAGAGGGAGAGAGAGAGAGAGGATGGAGGCTGGGTGTGGTGACACGTGTCTCTAATCCCAGCACTCAGGAGGCTGAGGCAGGAGAATTGCAGTGAGTTCAAGGCCAGCCCAAAATACATAGCGAGACTCTCAAAACGAACCAACCAAACAAACAAATAAACCAAAGAGCCGGGGTGATGGCCTGCCAAACACCTAAGAGCTCCCGTTGCGGAATTCCCAGCCCGTTATCAAGGAACTCAGACCAGCATCACAACCTCTCTGCTCGTCAGTACAGTGGAGACAATAGGAGATCCTACCTCCGACTCGACAAGCGTTATGAAGAGTAACGGAATGGGACGCGTAAGAATTGTGGCCAACACACAACAGACAGTGGGAGTATGGATGGTGGCGGTAATTGCCGTGGTACAGACTTTTCAATTCTCCCCACGGGGTCTAGAAAGAAGGAGGGTCCACATGCAACCGTTGAGGAGAACATGGCTATGAGCACAGACTGTTTACTCCCTTCCCACCAGGAACTCCTTCTGGAGCAATCTGTGCACAGACAGCAAACACCCAATCATGATGGAAATAAAAACAGAGCATGGGGATGTGGGAATATTATCTGCTGCTTCTTAGATCATGGAGATGAAGTCAAGCACGGACGGAGGGGCGGGGAAGAGAATTCAATTTGTGAATCACATGAGAACAGCAGCACGTCTTGAGGACAGCTAGCAGACCAGCCAGCAAACTCTAACAAATGCCTCCCCAGAGACCAGGTGCCAGGGAGAGAGCCTCGGGAGGATGTTCATGTCCCCGTGCACTCAGATCCCCTCTGTGAAGAACGAGGAAGAGACACAGAAGACAGTTTTGCCCATGTGCGTACATGCTGGCTCGTCCACCCTCATCCTAGGAAATGGCCCAAGTTCCGAGCAGCTGAGAGAGTCCCAGGGGCTCCCCCAAGGCAGGATGGAGGCCCTTCTGCAGAGCCAAGCCTGGAGACCGGTTTTCTGCTAATACGAAGGCCAGGTCCCAAGTGCACTGGGGATCCAGTCCTAGAATCTTGTACCCAGGGTCCTGGTGGGTGCTCAGGCTCCAGTGGGAGCTCACTGAATGTTATGCAGAGCGTCAGGCTGAGGGGGCAAGAGGAGGACTGAAACAGGCCCCTGAAGGGCTTAGCAAGAAACTGGGTAAGTGGTGAGAGTTATACAAGGAGAAATCTTACCACGAAGGTGGCTGTATTAAGAAGAAAAAGTGGAGGCGGCCCCGGGACTCCTATTCCTACCACTGAGTCCTCCCAGGGGCCCGGCCTTTTCCTTAACAAGAGAAGAATCTCATAAGTCCTCTTTCCCAAATTCACACGGTGGTTCATTACCAGAAAGATACTGGCACGAAAGCCCAAGGACTTCAAATTTCCATGAAAAGTATGATCCATCATCATACGCTGAGGGCCAGAAGGGGGCTGGAGGAGGGCGACAGGTGCTGGGGGCCTCAGGTGTGGGGTTGGGGTAGGGCTGGAGGACCGAGACCTGTCCCACGGTAGGGTTATGAGATGCGCAGGGCTCTCACACAGACAGAAAGGAGTGCACAGAAGGAACCGGGGCTTCAGTGACTGAGGTGAGGAGGCCGGAAGCCTCTGGAATCTCTGGCTGCAGCAGGCAGAGGCAGTGGGAAGACACGGTTGTACGTTTAGGGGCCAGTTACGGAGCATCCTTCACGTGCACCCCATCAGACACAAATACGTCGCACAGTGGACGTCAGACTCATTTGACAGGTGAAGCAACTGAGACTCAGAGAGGTGAAGCAGCTCATCTGAGGCCACACAGCCTGCGGCAGGGCCACATTTCCTGTTCTGCGTGTACCTAGAGGCTGACACACGCACAAAAACCCGGGTCATCCTGGTTCCCTCTGAGCCTCAGTCAAACGCTCGCTCCTGATCCATTAGAAAAGGACAAGGTGATAAACGAAGAAAAGGAGAACCTACGGTGCAAGGAAAGAGGAAGCAGAAAATTAGCTCAGAGAAGAGAAACCTGAAGAGGGGACAGTGGCAGTAGTGGCCGTGTGGCTTCCAGAGAATGCGCAGTCTTGGGATGGAAATGTCATGAGCCTCCACTCTGTCCTGCCTGCCTGGGACTCCCGATTTCTGGAACTGGTCAGGGTGCACAAAAAAATGTCATTTGAACCCGACGGTGTGGTTTGCTCAGAAAACTTCTGCCCAAGTCCTTGTCCTGCCCCCTCCTGCTTATGGCTGAGAGGTATGCTTTATCCTGCTCATTCCTGGCGGCATCATTTCCATACCATTTGCATAAATCTGCATTCATTATGAATCATTCTGAACTCTTTCACATGTTTAAATTTAGCTAACTTACTATATTTTCGAAGTTATTTGTTCCTGACTTTTTCCTCCCTGAGCCTTCTTTCTTATTTTTTCCAACCTTCAACTAAATCGGGACGCCAGCTCCCTCTTCTCTGCTTTGATCCAGTTCTAGGCAGTGGACGGGTTAGAAGGAGCTCTGAGCTTGGAGGAGTCCATGCCAGTTCTAGTCCTGCTCTGCTGGCAACTTGACCTTGCTCAACCTCTCTGAGCCTCAGCTTCCTCTACCAAGGAAGGAAATGAGGACGAGGACCCCTGCCCCTTGCGTAGGGTCACACAGTGTGCTGGGAAAAGCAGTAAACTGGTGCAAAGCAAAGATGGCTGCAGACTGGCGTCAGCTCTCTGTACAACTCAGCAACCTGTGACAGCGCCTGAGTTGTCTTTCCTGGACGGTGGCCTCAGCCTCACATTTCCTCTCTGGACTGGGGGCCACTTACAGTCCTGGGAGGAGGCAGCTGCCTGCCTGGCCTCCTCACTGGGGTCCCGGGAAGGCATGCTCTCTCATCAGACTCGGAAGCCTGAAATCCCACCTTTACCGTTTCACTCCTTTGGAGGCTTCTAGATGCTACTACGGGACTGATCTGCTTGGGAATGAGACGTGACACAGTGAAGCAAGCAAGCAAGGGCTCAGATGCAGACAGACCTGGATTCAAACCCAAGCAAGCTCTGCCTCTCGGCCAGGAGCACGGTGAGGCCTGTGAGCTTCCTGCCTCCAGGTGCTGACCATGCACGTGGTGACCCAAGATGCCTCTCTCACCTCCCTGGGGCCTGGCCCTGCCTCTCTTCCTCACTCTGTGTGAACCTGGTAGGTTATTTACCCGCTCTGAGCTTCAGTTTCCCTGCGTACTAGTGACCTTAAGAGCACCTGCCTGGAGGGCAGTCATGAGAGGTAAGCATCTCACCCGGGCCCCCAGCCTCAGGGTTTTGGAAGACCTTGCACCTGGAGACGCCCGCCAGGCGAACTCACACGGGAATAATAAGCAAAGACAGCCGCTGAAGCTCTCTCCGCAGGCCTTGTAAACAATTTATTTTTGATGCTTGACAAATGACAAGAAATTAATATACCTGCCACTCAAGTGGGGAAAATGACTCATAGTGATTCCAATTTACTGGAAATTACAAGATACTGCTCTCAACGAGTGGATGCTGTCACTTTTTTTTGTTTTTTTTTTTCCCTTGTCTAAACACGTCTCCTGGTCAGAATGGATGTTTATTGGGTTTGTGTTTTGTATTATTGACTGTGAGCCATTGTTACCTGATGTAATTGAGTTGTGAATCTTTTTTAAAATAAAGAATTAGCAGCAAATCAAAGTGGCTGCCTGCTGGATCCTGCACGTTCAGCCCAGCTGGTGTGCTGCAGCAGCTGGGCAGTGTCTGGCCCTACCTGGGGGCGGGTGGGTAGAGGGAGAGAGGGAGCATGCTCAGAGAAGTACAAAGCTTCTCTCCTGTGCCGCCCTCCTGAAGTGTGGGAGACTGCACCTGGCTCTGGCTCTGTCTCTGTCTCTACCTCCAGGGGAACCTCAGCTGGGTCCGTCCCTCATCTGTGGCAGTTTCCTCATCTGGGACACGTGGATGGTGAGGTCGGCCCCACCCATCCTATGGGGCTACCGTCAGGCATCTGAGTGTGTCCAGGGCTTGGCCGGCAGGAAATGGCGGCAGGCCTGGGGGTCAGCGCTGAAGGGGCCGGTGGACGCATGCACTTCTGGGTGAGCTGCCTGGTTCTAATCCTGCCACCTCCACGAGTGAGGTTCTGCCCTCAGGACCCACCGCCTGGGCTGCCCTCAGCACCTAGCAGCATGACGGCTGGCTGGGACCTCAATGACGCCCCTCTTTGAGCCCTCACGTGGCAGATGGCGATTCTGGAGAGAAGGGAAGGCGACTTTCAGAGTCCCATAGTGTGTCGGGCGGGCATGGGACTCGAACAGTGATCCCTGCTGGATCCCCCTGCGACTCCAGCTTTCCCTGCTTGGTGCCCTTCACAGTGAAGGGCATCTGTACAATGACTTTGGCAGTTGATCACACCTTGAGATGTCTCTTCTGTCTAGAACCTGGTTGGCACTGTAGACTGTTATCCACCTTTCCTGCTCTGTAGTCTTCCAGAGACTGCGAGGCTCTGGATTGTCCATCCTCCCTACAAGTGTTGCACCTACTCAGTGCCCTGCACATACTGAGAGCCCCATGGCTCAGTGCCTGGCACACAGTGGGGGCTCTGTGGCTGTCTGCAAATCGGGTTGAACTCTCATGTTATCTAGCTGTACACGGTGCTCCCTGGAGTCGTGTGAGGAAAGGAGTGTCACTGACGGAGCCCCCCAGAACAGCTGCGGCCTAGGTCAGTGACTCTGGCTGGTAACAGGCCTCTTGTCCTCTTCGTCTGAAGCGTGCGTGAACTGTGTGAGAAGGGCTAGTCAGGAGCCAATGTTTATATGTGATCTGTGTGGGGTGAGCAGGCAGGGGCAGGACTAAGGGCTGGGAAAGACGCTGCACTGAATAGAAGGAGGAACAAAAGAGGGAGGTCTGGAGGGAGAGAGAGGGCTGAAGAAGGGGAGAGGGCAGAAAGAGTGAGAGGTGGCAGGCGACATCTGCTGAGTGCTGATGGCTTCTCGCTGGGCACCTCTCTCTCTCTCTCTCTCTCTCTCTCTCTCTCCTTAAGGCCTCGGCAGCCCTCAGAGTTGGGTCGCCATTGTCCATCTCCATTTTACAGTGAGACCAAGGGCTCTTGCCCCTACCACAGGCACAAATCCCGTAACCCATGATTTTCCGTTCCCCCACAGGGACCTTCTACCTCATGCACTCTGGACACTGTAGTCCACACAACCAGGGCCCGGTACTTCCAGTAGCCAGCTGCCCTCTCCCTGTCACCTAACCTGGCTCTTCCTTCTCCGTCGAGCTCCTTAGGAGAGTAGCTGTCACTCACTGCCCTTGCTTCCTCAACCCCCCAGGCCGGAAGCATGAAAGTCCTGGGCACTGCCTTCCCCGCCCCACACTGCCCTGGCCATCCCTACCCCTCTGGACCTGCCCCTCTCCTCCACCCTCATGTCCCCCGCCCTGGTCTCCCCTTTCTGACCTTACCCAGATATCAGCCCCTGCCTCCCATCTGCTCTGCCTGCCCGCAGGCTCCTTTCTCTGGCTCCCACTTTCCTGTCGGCATCAGTTAGAGCTCAGGGCATTTGGGAGATGAGGCCCCTCCAGCCTGTGTACACAGTCCCTGCAGGCACCGTCCACTGGCTTCCGGTGCCAGTGTGGGCCTTGGCTGCCGTGCCCTCCCCACCCCGCCTGCTCCTGGTGGATGTCTCTTACGGAAAGTCTTCAGTCCGAGCTCAGGTTTGTGCTCTAGGAAGCTGTTCTGGAACTCAGGCTGAGCCAGTGGAGGCAAACATAGAGCATGCACGTTACTGTGTTTTTCTTTAAGATAAGAAATGTTAATGTACAGTTGCTGTTGTTGTTTTTCTAAACCGAAACCTCAGTGTTCACGTTTAATTGTGGTGTTGGCACTTGTGATAAGGGGGTTTTGGGTTGCAGTTTGGCACTCGGTCCCTCCAAGTTTCGTCATCACGGGTGAAAAGCCTTACCCCGGCCTCTGATCAAGTCCCCTCTATAACATGCTTTGGTTCTTTCTCCCTCACTGGCTGAAGCTGCTCTCAGGCAGGGGCTGGATTTACTTTTGGACACTTGGTAACAGGCACATCGTCCAGATGTGTGTTCACCGTGGTGCACCAGGACTTGGAAAGCAGGACGTGTGGAGAGATGCAGTGGTCACATGACGCCTACTGTTCCGACAGAGATGAGGCAGATCCAGGGAAGGAAGTGGGAGAAGAGATGAGGGCCCCAGGGTGTAGCAGTGGCCTACTCTGTCCTTCCCCCCAGGCTCTTTCACCCCTCTTCCTTCTCTCTCTCCAGGCCTCTTCCTGTGGTGATAGACAGGGGGGTGGAGGGTGGGAGACGGCCAGGATAAGCTACCAATTAAAAGGGGGGATGCTTTCACCTCACACATCCCCAGGGAAGCCCCAGCCCCGGAAGGCCCCACCTCGCATAGAGTTGCGTTTGTGAGTGAGCCAGCTCACTTCCCTTCAGCTCCCCACAGTAGAAGCCATCACAGTACTGAGCCTCAGCAGGAGTCAGACAGCACTAGCCGAGCGCCACACTTCCAGAATAGAGATTCCACCAGGCAAGGGCTTCCACCCTCCCTTTCCAAAGACCTTTTTCTCACATCCTATGTTTTTCTCACTAGATGAATGGCACTTACTAAATAACAATGATTACAAAGGAGAAAAAGTCCTCCAGAGAAAGGCATTTGACTTTTCAGTGTGGATAATCTGACTTGCGGATGTTTTGATGTGCTCTAAAAAGAAAGTTATTAATTATCTGATTCTTCGATTACCAAGTTAATTGTGAGCAGTGGGCCGTCATCAAAGCCCTGAGTGTCATCGAGGGTCAAGAATGAGGTAAAGGTCAGAAATTTCTATTTGAGCCAATCTTTGGCTAAAACACCAATATTCAACAACAACAACAACAACAACTCAGACCCGATGTTTTTTTTTTGTTTTGATTCTTTCATTTTGATTGGTGCTATCTTAAGCTAGATTACAATGTCTGCGTTACTAATCTGATCACTTCAAAATGCACCAATGGAACAGAAAAATGGGTCTTTGTATGTTTCCAAAAAAGGCAGCCACCAGACAACGATGGGAGCAACAAGACAGTCTCAACATCTCAGAGATAAAGGAAACGGTTCTCTAATTTTAGCTGGATTTTATCAGTGCAGTGGCACTTCATGCAGATCAGAAACCTGACCAGACTTACACATGGCTGTGATTAAGAATACGTGGGAAGTTAATGAATTATTATTTCGTAAGTGTAGTTCATCTGGCAGGCCAAATCTTTCAAAAGCCTGGGCCCATCCAAAGAACTCAGAACAAAGTCACCAGGAACAGAAAAGCCAAGTGCCCCTGCCCGAGGGACTGCTCTGTCCCTGGGATGCTGTCTGCCCACTGCCTGGTACCAGCAGCCCCCCAGCCAGCTTCCCTGTCCCTATCCAGAGAGCCCCCACTACACGCAGGCACTGTCAGGTGCCACAGCCAGGTGAGCAGGGTTAGCGCCTCTCCCACACCCCCACACGGGGACACAGAGTCTTGAGGGACTGAACGATCTGTGTGAGTTTGGAAGTGGGCCTGCTGCACACTGTCTTGGGAAATGCAGCCCAAGAGGACCCCACAGTTTTCTGACTGTGGGGCTGTGTGGAGAGGCAGCAGGGGAGGCCTGGCCAGTCTGGCTTTGGCATCAGCTTGGGCCAGGAGGGGACAATGTCTATTGCGGGGATTACTGTTGGGGTCTCTGCCTGCCTCACAGCTGCTCTGCGTTCTCCTGCGGGTCATGTTTTGTCGATGAGATGAGATGTATGACCGGTATCCCTTCAGGTGGCCGAGCCTCTCCTCCCAGGATCTCATTTCCAGAGGCTTCTGGAGGTGGCTGTAGATGGTTCCTGGAGCCACTCCCTTTTCTGTCTCCCCTGCCCTCTTCTAACCTCTCAGAGTCCAGATGTGGGCATTGCAGCAAATAGCACAGACTCTGAGCCACAGCACCTTGGGTTCAAATCCCAGCTCTGGCCACTGGTTGTGCAGCCTGACATGTGTGGCTCCAGATCTCTGACTCCAGATGGCTCATGGGAGAACACAGAAATATCAGCAGCATCAGTAACAATGCCACCCATCTAGCTATTCAAAGCTGGAGAAATACCGGGTCCTCAGGTAGCTTTCACCCTTCTGCCCAGGAGTCCTTTCCTCCCTGTCTGGGAACTGTGGAGGTTCTGCTTGGCAGGAAGGGGAGGTCGGCTTGCTTGGTGTGGTGTGGTGGGCCAGGGGTGGCTAAGAGTATTTAGCACGTTCATCAGTGGGGGCTGACCCGGAGCAGCCAAACCTTGTGACTGCATTCCTGCCCAGAATGTCACTTAAAAAGTTCTTATGATTCTGCCTGGAACACATTTACCCAAAGTACAGGGCCATCACAGGACAGGACATGGCAAGTTGCAGAGAGAAAACAGGGCAACCTGAGGAGGTCCCTTTCCTTGGCAGGTGGGGGCTGCGGGAGGGGAAGGAGAGAGCACAGCCCACCGTGTCCCTCTGGAATCGGCCCCAACGTAGCACAGATGACAGCTGGGCTGTGTGCTGCTGGGTGGGCAGAAGGCGATGGGCCACGCCCTGAGGTCTGAACTTGGAGGTTGTTTCTGGGCCTTTTCCTTACTGCTAAAATGCAGACTGCTGCACTTTGCTTCGCAGAGGACTGCACAGGCTTCTCTAAGTCCGAGGTCGTATGGAACCCACTGGCTCAGAGGCTGCATCAACCTCAGCGGGGCACTGGGGATTCAGATTCTTGCTGGGGTATGGTTCAGTGGTGGAGTGCGTGCCTACCATGCAAAAGGCCCTGGGATCCATCTCCAGCACATCACACACATACACACACACGAACTTCAGAACAGAATCAGAATCAGGCATTTGAATTCTGGGTTTCAGCCAACCGCAGACCCATTAGCTTTGCTTAGAGCTGTGGCCTCGAAGTGGCACAAGGGTCATCCTTCCTCTTACCAGACATTGCCCTGGTGGAAAACCGCGGGGTGGGGGGTTGAGGGGAGGATGAGCATTAGGGGACATTTGTGTTCTGACAGTGAAGGCCCAGAAAATGAAGCTCAAGGATAAGAATATCAGCACTCCTGTGGACTGTATTTTTGTTTTCTAAACGTGCTTAAGTGAATTTCCTTATTTGAATAGCATTAAGTGGTATTCAGAGAAGAGTCCCTCATAGCTAGAATTACTGGCAATACTTGTGAAGCTAGATCCTCTGTACATATCTCCACAGTCTCTGAGCCCCTGGGGGACAAAGGATGTATCTTCCTTCACGGCTATATTCCATCTGCACCCATCCATGGGCCAGGGCTTTGACCCTTGAGCCTCCGTGTGCCCGGGTACCCCAGATGCATGCACCCAGTCTCCTTCAAGGGAATGGGCCTGGCCCTCCACCTTCCCGCTCTCATACGCACCTGTAGGTGTCAGTGGCTGGCACTTTCCAGATCTGGATGCCCTTCAAGGGTCCTTCGCTCCCCACCACCACGCTCAGGTTGGAGTTCTGGTAGGCGTTGTTGCACTGGGTCTGAGTGGGGCCCTGGGGCCCGCTCGCCCCGCATGTGGTGAACAGCCAGTGAACTGCGGCACAAAAGGAGACGAGAGGAGTCACTTGGCCTGGCCTTCCTCCTCCATAGGCCTCACTGGGCTGCCCAGTGCAGTACCGGAAACCATAGTGCTTAATCTGTGCCACTGTAGCTGCACCTAACCTGCCCCAAAAGCCTTGGCATCGCATACGGGAACCTTTTAACCCGAGAGATGGACAGAGTAAATGGAACATAGTATCATTCCCATGGCTCCAGACGGACTGAGGGACCCAAGAAGGCGGGAGCAGGAAGCCTCGCACTTCCCGGATGTGGCTTTGCCTGGCAGATGCGTGGTAACAAGGCCCTCAACGGGGCAGGCCTCGGTCTCCCTATTACAATCAGCTTAGGTTTAGCAATGCACTTAGAGTAGCTTTTAGGTTGCCTGTGGAATATAGAGTATAAACAACAGAAGCACAGGTTGAGTTTGTCAAATTTTGTCTCCTCTTCCCAGGCCCAAGCCCATTCCATGCTGTACTCTGTTCTCTCCCAAAGTGGCTTCTGGGGGCACCGCAGGAAGATTCAGTACAAACCTCTTCCACCCTCCTCCTCCTGGGTTTCCATCCCTAGCACGTATCCTTTCACAGTGCCTTTGAGCCAGGTCAGGCCTTGGGGAGTGGGTCACATCTTTTGTTGACTAAAATTCTAGTATTTTTTACAACTCATGCAGACTTTACAAAGAATATTCTTGATAAATTACTTTCACTTAAAAAAAAACTTGTTATCAGCTTGCTAACATTATTTCTCTTTAAAGACACATTAAGTTCTACCCACAAAAATTAAGAGTTAGTTTCGGCGATATGGCCTTGTCTACTAAAACATTAAAGTGAAAGTTTCCTGAAGAATTTGGACTGATTTAATAATCAGATTGAGAGTACGCTGGACATGACTGATAATCTGAAAACTGGGCCAACTGTGGTGAGATTTTATAACATGGTCCTGGCTCTGAGGTTAGGAAAACAAAGTTCTAGTGGGTTCCAGTGCATACAGCTGCTCAGCACTGAGTACTTGTGCTTTGTTTTTTGGTTTTGTTTAAGTGAAGATGTTGATTTCTATTTGACTTCTGTAGGTCATTTCAAGGGCTGGGAGGTAGTGAGTTCATTCACATTTGGTATGAATGGCTGATGGTTTACCTTTCTGATCCGTTTGTGTCCAGGAGACAAACCTTTTAATTCCAAGGACTAATTCTTCACAGAGGTATTTTTATAGAGCCCGTTTGGCCACTTGCCCATTTATCTGTTCCAGAGCCCAAACTGTAAGACTGTACATGTGAGCTGTGCTAGAGGGGTGAAGTGGAAAGACCACAGGCTTTGAAATCATCAAGAACACCTGGATTTCAGGGCAGCCACTTCAATGACAGACGGTGGGACCTTGGTCTAGTTCCCTCCTCTAAGAGAGGAGCTGGACTAGCATGCTAAAAGAAGCAGTGGGGTGTGCAATGTCATGGTAAAGTCGGAAACTCTGAAGCTGTGAGTTCTAGCAATGGTTCCTGCCTGTATCTAAGGCTGATGTTGTCCCTAGTAACAGAAAATGTGGGTGGGGAGTTTCTGTGACTATGGGTCTCAAGCTAGTAGTACCTGGGGATTCAAACTCAGTATGGCGGGGATCAGGATGGAGGTAAAGAGGAAAGGAAACCCACCCTTCTCCTTATCTCCCAGCCTGGAGCCTAGTCTGCAGACCTGGCGTGTCTATAGCAAGTGGCCTGGATGTGGACGGTCTCATTAGTCTGAGGAGAGAAAAATGGAAGTTCATGGAATTCAGTCCTGGACATAAAAGAATATTATACCATTTTTATCAAAGGTGTGTAGGAAAGAGAGCTGAAGGCTTGCACCTTGCCTCAGCACATTACCTTCAAGGGAGCAGCCTTGAGCTACCTGACACTGTCTTGAAGGTTCTGACCCATCCCCAGGGATGCTGGGCTTCTGCTTCATGGATGGAACATGTGGTGAGTAGGAAGCAGGGCATGGGTTCTGGATTCAGATGGGCTGAGTTTTCTCATCCTGGATGTGCCTCTGACTGTTAAGATCTGGGTAGTATTATATTACCTACCTCCCTGAGCTTCAATTTTCTAACTTGAACAAGTGGAGATTGTTCCTCCAAGGCTTAGACCTTCTGACTTATGACCTAAGTGAAGTGCTTAAGCATGACATTCAGCATTCAAGATGCATGGTGAATACAGTTTAACAAGTATATTACTTCTTGTTCAGTTTCTCACTGTGGGAAGCAGACACCCAACCTCCAAATTTATGCCCCCTCTCCTGAAAAGAAGGACTCTAGTGCCATTTCTCAACAACAGGGCCAATGTTGTCCCAATTCCGTGGATGTACATTAGTCTCAGGTGGTTTCGATATACGAAATTTTGTTTTTATTTTCAACAATTTCTGATGGAAAGGTCCAGAGAGAAAACTGTTTTTTTGAAGCAGTTTCCAGGGGAATAGAGGCTCTGCCACCCCAGGTCAGAGTCATGACTTATCCAGCCAGAATTCTGCTGTTCCCAGCAGCCTTTGAGGTACAATGGTGCTTCCTGCTCTTGCAGATGGCTCTGACCCTCATAAATCTGTCCAGTTTTGTTTGGAATCAATTTATGTTTCCCACTAGCACCACCTCTCAGGGATATGGAGTTTCTGATAAGGGTTACCCTGCTTCGTGTGTGTGTGTGTGTGTGTGTGTGTGTGTGTGTGTCTTGTCTTGTTCAAGCTTTATCCTGCTGGTTCCCTTTGTTCATTCAGTCTGCAGTCTCACAGACATCAGAGAATGTCACAGCATGATGAGACCTGGTAGATCATCTAGTTAATGGTCCCTAAACTACTGGAGCATCTTTAAAACACAGATCCAGGGCTCTGGGGATTCCGATTCAGTAGATATTAGGTAGGAATGGGCGTTCAGTCATTGCACAATATCATAAAATCAGATTCCCAAGAGAAGCAGATACTTAAGCAGATTTTACACTAGCCCAGTCTCCTCATTGTCTAAATGAAGAACGGGCATTCTAGAGAGAGGAAGTGACTCTCCTACATGTAACAGCATTAGAGAAGAAACTAAAATTAGTAATCACTCCTTCTTTGTGTAGAGGACTTTGGATGGCGATTAAGCTCTTCCCCGTTTTCTGCCTTAAAGACATCTGGTCTTTTCATAACCTCCCTATATATCTCCTGAATCCCCTATATCCTTTTCATATCTTTTAAAATATTAGAATCTGCTTTTTGAAATGGGTCCATTAGAACTGTGGTACCTGTGACTCTGTTTCAGGGGACAATTTTTATTTTGTTTTATATCCAGTGTCCCTCTGAAGGTGCTTGCCTGGAACGGACTCTAATAAATTTCTAGACCTTGTCCAAGGAAAGAGGTATTGCTCTGAGCCTGAGCATACTAACTATTGTGGGTTCAGGAGTGCTGCTGAGGAGGAACCTGAACAGGGAACCGTAGAAATAGGTAGTATTTGAGGCTGGCAGGCATGAGGTCAGTTCTAAGCTAAGGTAGGTCAGAACCACAAGAAGATAGGCAGAAGCTAGTTCATTTAAAAGAGTGTCACCAGAAGAGAAGATACTGGGCATAATCTTATAAATTAAAGCAGGGAGGTCCAGAACCTGGGAGACAAGGAAATTAGCAACCATGCTCCAGGGGGCAGAAGTCAAGGTGAGTTTTTGTTTTTGCTTCTGTATGGGGATCGAACTCAGGACCTTGTGCTTGTGAGGCAGCCAGTGGAACCACTGAGCTAAATCCCCAGCCCTAAGATAAGTCTTGATCCTCAGGGAGAAGATGCCTTGTTTTCTGATTTATCAGTCATTCTTTCTGTGTATATGGGGCTGCTCTGTACCTTAACTTCATTCATGAAGGGAACAAAAATCTCTCAATATTTATTGTGCACTTAATGTGGGTCAGACACTGCAGTTTCACACATGTATTAAATGCCTTTAAACTTGTTGAGATTGTGTTGTGCTAAAGGCAGAATCATAGCATTTCCTTTAAAGATCAGGAAATTCAAGTTCAGAGAAGCGGAGCGACTGGCCTGCAGCATACAAAGTGAGTGCTGATTAAATGCAGATTCTCTGGCAAGCCAACTCATGGCTGAAAAAGGTGCTAGGATCACTGGGAAATCACCACAGAACATTTCTGAGTATTAGGTTTCTTCTATTTTAGTCCCCAAACCCAGGGCTCAGTTCAAGTCAGGACAAACTGTACCAAGGCTGCTCAGGTCAAGAGTATGGAGGCCACTTGGAAGTGACAGCTGAGAGTCTGTGTCAGGTGGAGTCTCAGTCCCAGAGAGTCCCATAGTGGCCCCAACAGTGGCAGAGCTTAGTGAAGAGCGGACTTTACTGGGTCCTGGGAACCACCCAAAGCAAGCGGGTGTTCAGGATCAGGGAGAGGCCACGGGGAGATAGGTGGAGCCAAAGGGAAATTCACTATGTGCAGTGTTTACAAGGTCAGGAGTGGGAGACCTGGCTAGGAGTGAAGGATCCAAAAGAATGATTAAACTGTGGGACAAAACACATATGGCCTACAAGGAGTGAACAGTTACAGGGAGGGGCAAAAAGCACACGGGTGGGTGAGAATTGAATGGTTAAACAATACAAAATTTAGAGAAGTGAAGCATGATATGTTTGGCCAAATGTCCTTCCTCTTTCCACATGAACTGCTTAGCTTTGAGACAGCTCCTGGCCCAAACTGCTTTTTCTCCTGCTTTTTCCCTCCCTTACACTGATATTCTAACTACAAGCCAGAGAATTCTCAGCTTGGTAGCTTTTTTCAGTCTCCCTGATGGCTGGGTGCTCTTGGTTGAGAAACAGCCCCTTTATACCTCTAGGTGACTGAACTAAGTCTCGTCTCTGAGTAATTTTTCATCCTCTATGCTGCCCACTGTTGCTCACTGTGAGAAGCGGTGTGCCCCGCGAGAGGAAAAATATGTTACTACAGATCAGCGTAGAGCATCGACCTCCCAGGCCTGGAAAAGGAACAAGGACGTGTCTGACTCTTCCTGGTAAGGGAACATAGGCAGAC